AATGAACATGGAGAGAAATACTCTGATGCTGTGACTTTAAATGTCAAGTGTGAGTTAATGATCATCTGCACTTTGTTCAAAATTTCCAAATTCACAATTTACTAATATTTATTGTGATTTTTTATATTTTTGTGTCCTTTTTAGACCCTCCAAAGAATGTCTCAGTGTCCATAACTGGATCTGTAGAAATAGTGGAGGGAGATTCAGTGACTCTGATCTGCAGCAGTGATTCAAAGCCTCCTGCTCTGAACTTCAGCTGGTTTAAGGAGAATCAAAGCTCAGCTGTTGTATCTGGACAGAGTTTCAGTGCACTGCAGAGTGGACGCTTCTACTGTGAGGCTCACAATCAACATGGATATCAGAGATCAGACGCTGTTACTGTCACTGTTAAAGGTAGAGCAGGTCATTTACTTACATTGCTACTCTTAAACTGAGTTAAACTGATCAATGTATCTTAATATTTTATCTTGTTATGAGTGATGTATATGTTTACCGATGAGTTTTACAATGTATGCTATTCTTGTTTTATATGTTTTCATTTTATGGCTCTGATTCTCCTCTTCTGTCTCTTCTGAACGCTGATGGCAACACTATTGGATGCTTTTTCTTCTTCTTTTCAGTCTCTCACAAACAATTCTGATGACATGAGCATAATATCTGATCCTAGTCTGTTCTCATATGTGTATGAGAATGTGGTGGTAAGTGTTAAGCTTTTTATTCAAGCCTAGACAAGGTCACTATAGTACTTTTCAAAACTAGTTGGTCCTAGTTCCTTTTTCTCCTGGTTCTCATTTTTCTTCTGTCTCTCTTTCATGAAGGCCGTTCATCCTTGCAGTAAAACTCCTGATCCTAAAATGAACATCCCTCTGTATGAGAATGTGACGATTTATGAGAATCTTAACATTGTGAGTCAATAGAGAATATTCTTGTGCTATTAAATGTCCTGCTCTGTAATCTACACCAATGAGCCATTACATTATGACCTGTAGTGGCAAGGCGTTGATTCGACGAGTTGCTGATAGGTCTCTTGGGGTATCTGGTCCCATAATGTCAACAGCAGGTCCTCCGATTCCCGTACATTGCGCTTTTCCAAGTCAAACCACAAATGTTCATTTGGGTTCATGTCAGGTGAATTTGGAGGTCATTGCGTTAACAGAAATTTACCATCTTGTTGCTCAAACAGCTTCTGGCGGTTAGCATGGCGTATTATCCTGTTGATAATGTCCAACACCAGCAAGGAACATGGTTGCCATGAATGGGTGCACTTGGTCCGCAAGTGGGATAATAAATGGGATATAAGTGGGATATTGAGATAATGGGGCCTAAAGACTCCCAAGAAAACATCGCCCACAGCATAACACCACCACCGCCGGCCTGTGTCTGCCTCAACAGTGCATACGACGCTCAGCCATCGAAGTGATGCACCAGGAATCTTGATTCATCACACCAGGCCACTTTTTCATCCAATCTCAATGATCTTCTGCACATTTCATGCTTTGTTGGCGATTGCGTGCAGTTAGCATGGGGACCTGGCTGGGTTGTTGGCTACGCAGGCCCATACGCAAAAGGTTGTGATGAACTGTGCTCTGTGACACATTGCCCTGCTCATCACTGCTGGTGATTTGTCACACTGTTGCTCTGCGGTCGCTGTGAACTATGTGCTCACCTCTGGCATCAATGAGCTGCAGACGACACACTGCTTCACGGCGGTTCATCGCTTGGACATATGTGCACCACTTTTGATATGTACTCACTACAGCGACACGTGAACAACCAACAAGGTGCGCCGCTTCCGAGATTGAAGTTTTGAGGCACCTGACCACCACAATATGTCCTTCATCCAACTCCAATAATTCGACAGCTTTTCCCATTCTGAGACCAAAAGCTCTACTGACCGAAAGCCAGTCCTCGTGTGATATATATACTGCTCTGTGAGCTGCACCTGCCAGGCCAGTTCATTGCTGTAGGCTGGGGGTGGTCATAATGCAATGGCTCATCAGTGTACACCCCTGCAATATTCTGATTGACTATAATAAGTGTCTTTTAAAAAGTTCAAAGTAGTTCAACTTTGTAAATGGATCTCGTTTTTGTCTCGTTGGCTCAGACTAACAGGAATATGCTGTAGTGGACGATGGCACACACCAAAAAAAATTTAAAAATCACTGCCTTTATGCTCTGTGTGGGTGGAGCCCCGGATGATTGACAGGTGTGTCTGATGACGCTTTACTGGAGAATTCTGAAAAGATTGACGACAATGGATACATCTGGAAGTCGAAGGCTTGCCGTCTAATAATATCATCATGGGAATATGTTGTTGCTATTAGCATTGTGACTAGTTTTATTGTAATTACTTATAGTTGAGTTAAACTGATCAATGTATCTTAATATTTTATCTTGTCTCAGTACTATATTGGAAGATATCTTATATAGCCATTGTAGTAACGCTTTGTGGAGTTGTGGTTGCTATCATCATTGCATTGCTTACCTGGTAAGAGTCAGAGTTTTCCTTTTAGTGTTTAGTTATGTGGTTTAATATTGTGAAATGTTAATATAACATGTTTTCTTTTCGAGCAGCTGCGTGAACAGGAACAAACTGCAGTCGAAGGTCAGTCAGTTTCAATAGAATATGGACTCAAATATAGGCTTTGCTCAATAAGGGGCGCTAAAGGGAAAGATAATGTAATCAAAATAAATGAGGAAAATATGGAGAAAGAAGAAGGAAAGATTTGACTAAAATTAATCTTTGTTCAAAACACAATGTATATATCTGATTGACTATAATAAGTGTCTTTTAAAAAGTTCAAAGTAGTTCAACTTTGTAAATGGATCTCGTTTTTGTCTCGTTGGCTCAGACTAACAGGAATATGCTGTAGTGGACGATGGCACACACCAAAAAAAATTTAAAAATCACTGCCTCTATGCTCTGTGTGGGTGGAGCCCCGGATGATTGACAGGTGTGTCTGATGACGCTTTACTGGAGAATTCTGAAAAGATTGACGACAATGGATACATCTGGAAGTCGAAGGCTTGCCGTCTAATAATATCATCATGGGAATATGTTGTTGCTATTAGCATTGTGACTAGTTTTATTGTAATTACTTATAGTTATTGATAATTGTTTATTTATCTTTTGGAGATTTATTTTTATTTAACATTTTTTATTCCTCTTTCATTCAATTAATTAGTAGTCTCAATACTAGTAGTGTTATTTGACACACCCATGGATCATTTACAGGCTACTAAATGCACATTGCAGACAAACATTATTCCATCCTGTATGCAATGCTCACTTCTCACAATCCAGTCATTGCCAGTGGATAAAATAAATTCCCACTCTTATGTTTTATTCTTGTTTGATATGCCATTTTATGCCATTTTACTTTGAAATGCATCACAATATAGAAGTGAATTTGATTGCACCTTCATTTTAATGCCAACATTGAGGTAATACTAGATCTTTACCTTTTGCTGATCAAACATAATCAAAATCCTTTTCAAGGAAAGTCAGCTCTCTCTGCTGCCCTATTTGCAAAACATCTCAAAAGATGCTGGCCAAAGTCATATTTCAATAACATTTTACATCGACAATAAAATTAACATAAACTGTTTCTTACAAACTTACACTCAGATAGCATCAAAAAGCATTTGTTTCATTTTTGTCCAGCCAACGCACATGTACAGTCCTGAATGTGTGTCTCAGAACTGTTTTATTTAGAAGGCGGGACTTCTATTACTAGAGCCGCCATATTGGGTATGTGAAAAGGCCTCAAGCTTTACTCTGACAGCACTGAGTTCCGCTTTCTGGGTGTGACGTTCTTCAGTGGGATGCTGCAGTACAACGTTTCACTTTTTTTTTCTCAGTACAAAGGAAACTCTATTTGTGACCATATTTAGAGAGAAATGACACTTCTGAGAACAAAACCTCTAACAGACTAAAAGCATAGAGACTCTATCTAGCTTCTTCATCAGCTTATTTGAAGTTATTTATTTAATTCCCATTAATTCGAGGATTATCAAATGCACAGTTATGCAGAATGTTGCAGTCACTACTAAGGCAATGCTTTCCAGTGTTTAATAATCCCGATCCATACCATGATAGCTGGTATGCAAATTAAAGTCAGTTATTGAAGCAATTATTTTCTCTGTCTCTTAAGAGCAGGTTCCTAGTTATCGCAGTTATATTACCAAGTTTGAAAACATTATGAGCATCTGCTAAAACTCTGCTTCTGCTCTATCAGCACTAGTATTGCTGCCTGTTATTAATATAGGTGTTAATCACATGACATTTAGAGTGTGAAATCAACAATGCAGGTTTTATCCTGATCATTTATAGTGCTGTCACTGCTCGTGAGTGTTCATGAAATGGGTAAGAACATAATTTTATCGTCCTTTTTTCAAATATCTTACATATTGGAGACTGGTTGGGGCTAGTTGTCACAGGGCTGTCTCTAGGTATGAGCTTTAAACAGCACATATATATATATATTTTTCCTAGCAGTGTTTTGTATTTTGGTGAGAAACACCTCGATAAAATCCTCATTAATCTGTTACAGAACAACATAATGACTGTAGATTGAAAGATTCAACTGTGTTTTCGGGACAAGGGTTGGGGCAAGGTGTCACAATACCGTGTTTAATTAACTCTATATTAGTGATAACAGTGATAATATTCAATAGACTTTTATACCCACGACTTTAAATTGTGTATCTATACAGAGAGTGGCTTTTAAACATAAACCTGCCATGAGAAATATTCACTGGAATAACAGTGTGACAACTAGCCCCAGTGATGCATTGAACTCAACTGAGGAGCTTTATAACAGTTTCTGAGTATGAAATTAAAAACTATTTGTTATTGGCAGCATTTCACTTTACTTTCTAAAGTGGGCGGGGAAAGAAGTTGGACGATTACAAACTCATGCAGTACAAAAATTACTGCAGAGTTGCTGCCATTTTCTTTAAAAAATGAAGTAGTATTGTTTTCTTATGTTTCATGCTGACTTTAAAGCTGAAAAAATGAGCCACTGTGAATTTGCTCTAGGTGTTGCTATGGTGATGTCAGTCAGAATGGCTCCTCCTCTTCCTCTGATGTTTCTGCTTATGATTTACAGTGAGTCGCTGCAACAGAAACCCCTAAGAGATTTTGCACACGGCATTTTTTTATGCACAAGCTGCTGCTAATTTATTCAGTGTGATTTTATTTAGGGGCTTACAGTGAGAAGGAGGATGTGAATTACAGCCATTCACACATCTGTGCACTAAAGAACTCATCAGTGATAATGAGCTGCACTTATACATACCCTACTGGACATAAGATCATGAAAGCGTTCTGGACCAAAACAAATGTTAGAAATGCTGATAATGAGTTTCCAGATCTGTCTGAGGATCCTGAATACAGTCAGAGGCTTCAGTATCTGGGAGACAAACAGCAGAACTGCTCCATCAGACTGAGTCATGTGACACAGAAGGATGAACACAAGTACTGTTTCAGATTCATCACTGATAAACCTGATGTGAAATGGCTTGGTTATCCAGGAGTGACTCTTACTGTCACAGGTGACTTTCATGAGGCTGAGCTCTTCTTCTGTGCATTATGTTGAATAATAATCAGTGTATGACAGCAGCACTAGATATAATGTGTGTGTTGTGTTCAGATCTTCAGGTGGAGGCTCCTGAGAGAGTGACAGAGGGTCATAATGTCAGTCTGACATGTAAAAGCAGCTGCACTCTGACTGACAGAGCAACATTCATCTGGTACAGAAACTCACAGCCATTAACTGAGAGAAGAGACGGAAACAATCAACTCCTGCTGCAGTCAGTCAGAAGAGAGGATGCAGGCAGATACAGCTGTGCTCTACATGGACACAGTTACATCTCTCCTGCTGCTCGTTTCAATGTCACGTGTGAGTACTGATTCATTTGTTCTTTTTAAAAACCTAGAAATTGTCTTTGAATGGGATGATATAAGGATTTAATATCCATCCTTTATAGATGCACCAAAAAACGTCTCAGTGTCCATCAGTCCATCTGGTGAAATAGTGGAGGGGGATTCAGTGTTTCTGAGCTGCAAGAATCTACAGCATCTCAAAGATCAGCTCTGATCACAGTGAAGAATACAAGTGCAAGTCCAGAAATGAACATGGAGAGAAATACTCTGATGCTGTGACTTTAAACATCATGTGTGAGTTAATCATAAAACAGCTAATTCTCTGTTTTTTTTGTTCACTTCATATTAGCAATTTTAAGATTGTGTCAGCATCTTAATTAATTTGGTGATTGTTATTAGACTCTCCCAGGAATGTCTCCGTGTCCATCATTCAGTCTGGTCAGATCTGGGAAGGAGATTCAGTCCTCTTCCTGAAATGAAGAAAAACTCAGCGATACTGTCTAACGTTACACTTGTCACACAGAATGAGAAATATAATTATAGAAACCTGGAAGTGCCCGCATTTACCTGTTTACGTTTTGCTTATTTGACATTAAATGCATTATATTGCCTAAGTCACTTTGGAATATAAATCATAGCACGTTCAGAAAATAAAATATGCATCGTGTAGTCCGGAAAATACCTAATAGCAAAAAATTTTGCGTGACGCCCTGGCTTTGGGTCACGACACGGACCCCAGTTTGCAAACCCCTGCTCTTACTCATATTATCCTCTCCTAACAGTAATGGCCATAACAAGACTTATAATCAGTCAGGTAAAGGCGAGCCAGGCACATCAGTGACTTCACGAGGCCGGTGCATTTAGTGGCTGATCCCTTTGGCGATGTGACTAGAGCCGAATAAATACAGGTGTCTCGCCTCTCTCATTACAATGGAAACTGTATTTATGGCCATATTTAAAGACTCAGCATGTATTCAAGAACAAGGCTGCTGACAGAAAAAGCTTATAAGTTCATTATAGCTTTTAAGACATTTAGATAAAATCAGTTCTGCTTCATCAACATATTTTACGTTTGTTCCATTGATTGATTAATATAAATTTGGTAATGAATTGAGGTTCATCAAATGCACAGCGTATTGCAGTCACTGCCAATGCAATGTCTTCCAGAATTTCACAATCCCAGGTCCAGCAGTTCTCAAACCAGTATAACTGGACCGTATATTCAAATTTGAGTTATTCAGTCAATCATATTTATTTGTCTCTCAGGCACAGGTTCCTTGTCATCGCCATTTGTATGCAATTGATTGTATAGATATTCCCAAGTTTGAAAATTTAACAGGATCATCTTTATGAGCTAAATTCATGTTTCTCTCAGTTCAACTTTCATTGGCCTTTAGTCTAATGTCCTCTGCTAAAATGCTTCTTCTGCTCTATCTAGCACTAGTTGAGGTGTTAAAAACACATTCATTCAAGATTCTATATTATGCTTTTTTCAAATATCTTTTCAGTTTAGTTACTCTATTGTCATTGCACAGAGTACAACAACATTATACAGCAAAAATAACACAATAAAAACAATATGTATACCTATAACCAGGGCCCCCAGCTATTGAGGGTGCCGGTGATTTCAACCGATGGTGAAGTCAGTATTTGATGGTGTTTGGTTCTTGTTTTGGGGAGAAACTGCTTTTGAGCCTGTGATACAATGTCTGTGATAGATTTGTCTATTATACAATGGACCTGAAGCATTTACCAGAGGGCAGCAAGTCAAAAAGACAGTGTTTCGAAATGTTGGCTGATGACCCTCGGGACAGTAGCTTTTCTTGCAGGTGCTTTTACCCGAGGATCCTCAGGAAGTGGAATCTCTACTGTGCCTTCTTGACTACTTCTTGACCTTCATGACTACTTAACAATGGTATTGATGGGATGGGTGGGGGCACAGTCATGAGTGTAGACAGAATACAGAAGCGGACTCAACACAAAGCCCTGTGGCACTCCAGTGCTGAGTGCGAGGAAGGAAAAGAGATGGTCCTTTATCCAATGGAAGAAGGACTGTGAAATTCTTAAGTCATCAAGTTTGGTGACCAATCTACCTGGGAAGACTGTGAAATAGCTGCATTGATGTTGAGGGTGTGTCAGCCCTGCCATATGCAAGTTGGAATGATTTTAGAGGTTTTAGAGAGAGACTGGTTAAAGATCCCAGTGAAAACCTCAGAAAGCTGGTTTGGCTTTGAGCACATACCTCACAACATGCTCCTCCAACATGAGGGTGTGACTACTGGAGGCTGGTTGAGATGTCTTGACTGTCTCCACTGCTTTCATCTAAATAGCAAAAAAAAACAATTTAGTTGCTCTGCCAGGGAAGCATCACCGTTAACATTCAGTTGCTGGTCATTCAGTTGCTGGTCTTATAGCTGGTGACATGCTGGATGCCCTGCCACACCTGCTGTGAGTCGTTGTTGGTGGTGGCCCTCAAAGAACTTCTTGTAGGCCACTTTTGCCTTACTGCTGCCTCTCTTCAGGTTTGCTTTATCAAAATAATGCTCTTTTTAGCAACATCATATGACCCCTTTAAATTTGGCGAATATAAACAAGAACACACATAAAGAGCAATTAGAGTGAGAGCGTGGAGTCACTTTGTCTATGCTTGCTGTCACCTTGCTTGCAAAAATAAAAAAAAATTATAATTAAAAAAACTATTGTTCAGTATGAATTGTGTTTCAGGGGTTTCTGGTCCTGATTGGGGTGTGAGTTACAGTCATGTACACATCTGTGTACTAAAGAGCTCATCAGTGATAATGAGCTGCACTTATACATACCCTACTGGACATCAGATCATGAAAGTGTTCTGGACCAATACAAAAGAGAAAGAAGATAAACATGAGACAGAGTTTCCAGATCTGTCTGAGGATCCTGAATACAGTCAGAGGCTTCAGTATCTGGGAGACAAACAGCAGAACTGCACCATCAGACTGAGTCATGTGACACATAAAGATTCACACAAGTACTATTTCAGATTCAGAACCAATATAGATCAATGGATTGGTAAACCAGGATTGACTCTTACTGTCACAGGTGACTTTCATGAGGTTGAGCTCTTCTTCTGTGCATTATGTTGAATAATAATCAGTGCATGACCGCAGCACTAGATATAATGTGTGTGTTGTGTTCAGATCTTCAGGTTGAGGCTCCTGAGAGAGTGACAGAGGGTCATAATGTCAGTCTGACATGTAAAAGCAGCTGCACTCTGACTGACAGAGCAACATTCATCTGGTACAGAAACTCACAGCCATTAACTGAGAGAAGAGACGGAAACAATCAACTCCTGCTGCAGTCAGTCAGAAGAGAGGATGCAGGCAGATACAGCTGTGCTCTACATGGACACAGTTACATCTCTCCTGCTGCTCATCTCAGTGTCACGTGTGAGTACTGATTAATTTGTTCTTTTTAAAAACCTGGAAATTGTGTTTGAATGGGATGATATAAGGATTTAATATGTATCCTTTATAGATGCACCAAAAAATATCTCAGTGTCCATCAGTCCATCTGGAGAAATAAAGGAGGGAGATTCAGTGACTCTGAGCTGCAGCAGTGATTCAAACCCTCCTGCAGAAATCAGCTGGTTTAAAGGAATAAAGTTTGTAGGATCTGGAAGAATCTACAGCATCTCAAACATCAGCTCTGATCACAGTGGAGAATACAAGTGCAAGTCCAGAAATAAACATGGAGAGAAATACTCTGCTGTGACTTTAAACGTCATGTGTGAGTTAATGATCAACTGCATATTGTTCACATCCAAATTCAGCATTTTCTAAAGTTTTTGTGAATTTTGATTTTTATTTATATTAGATCCACCCAGGAGCGTCTCAGTGTCTATCAGTCCATCTGGTCAAATAAAGGAGGGAGATTCAGTGACTCTGAGCTGCAGCAGTGATTCAAACCCTCCTGCTCTGAACTTCAGCTGGTTTAAGGAGAATCAAAGCTCAGCTGTTGGATCTGGACAAACCCTCCTGCAGAAATCAGCTGGTTTAAAGGAGGAATGTTTGTAGGATTTGGAAGAATCTACAGCATCTCAAAGATCAGCTCTTATGATTGTAAAAAATACAAGTGCAAGTCCATCAATGAACATGGAGAGAAATACTCTGCTGTGACTTTAAACATAATATGTAAGTTTATCATAAAAAAAGCAAATTCTCTGGGGTTTTTTTTCACTTCAGTTCATATTAGCAATTTTAAGATTGTGTCAGCATCTTAATTAATTTGGTGATTGTTATTAGACTCTCCCAGGAACGTCTCGGTGTCCATCATTCAGTCTGGTCAGATCTGGGAAGGAGATTCAGTGACTCTGATCTGCAGCAGTGATGCAAACCCTCCTGCAGAAATCAGCTGGTTTAAGGAGAATCAGATGTTTTACTCTCTTGTCTCTGTTGTAGGACGTCTGGTGATATTGTACATATCCATTGGAGTGGTTTGTGGAGCTGCAGTTGTCGTAATGATGTATGATATATGTGTGTGTGTGTGTGTGTGTGTGTGTGTCTCATTCCTGTTATCTGTGTGTGTGTGTGTGTGTGTGTGTGTGTGTGTGTGTGGTGTAATGTAGTGTGTGTAAATGAGCAATGCTCATTCCTGTTATCTCAGGGAACCGAGGTTACATACGTAACTGGAACATTCCCTTCCGATATGGTTCACTCAGATTGTGTTTACCACGTTATGGGGAACAATATCCAATAGCATCGGCAAGGCACAATTAACCCGGGATCAGCGAGGCCCAGGCCATAAGCCTGGAGTTCTCAGAAAAAAATAGTCCTGACCACCGTCAGGGAGCGGAACCAGCTTGACCAGCTGTGGAGTAGGCTAGGCCGCTAGGACTGAAGTGGCTCTGCAGGGCTAAAAAGGGTGGACAGCCTTGGCTTACCATTCCAGGGCATGACCTCTTTAGGACCCATCTGCGCTGCCCCATAACTCCACTGTTTTTAACTCTGAGGTTCCTGAGAGGACGAAACGGGGGAGCACAAAGGATGGGGTTGCTATCATGAAAGAAAACCATCCACGAGTGCAGTGAGGTGAGACAGGTGAGAGCAGCTCATCTCAGTAAGCGCAGTCTCTGTGTGGGCTTGCCCAAGCACTAAGGCAGAGTGCTCATCCAAGGAGTGCAGGAATGCCCTGCATGAGCAACACTCATGGCGTGGCATTTTGCAGCAAACGTCACTAGAAATATGCTCTCTTAGCGAAAATTAGCTTTAATAGTCCTGCTGGATAAGTGCAGAGGAGTAGTGCTGCTGTTAGCGCTGTAATCCACTGCTGGGGCCTTTCTACAGCAAGCAGGAAGGCTTCTTCTTCTTCTGAGTCAGCAAGGAGACATCATATATATTATATTGGCAGTCAGCCCCGCCCATTTTGTGCTGCCCATTTGTTTGTGCAGCTACACGAATGTTAACAAATCAGGCTTCAGCATTCAAAGTAAACAGAGTTTCCCCATAGCGTGGTAAATGTAATGTGAGTGAACCATGCCAAAAGCGAACCGTAGATGCTCCACATTTCATCACATTCAAAACAGTCTATTGAGAAATGACATCGTTTCAAAATCATAACATCTGTTAAGTTCTGATTGACAGTAATTGTGTAAGCAATTGTCTTTAAAGGGTAAGCAGATGGATTAAAAACAGAAATGGTGCACTGAAGTCTCAGGTGAGAAGAAAATTATTTTGTTATCAGTAGTTTACTGTTCAGGTAAATTAACTTGTCAAGGATTGAAAGTCTGAATGTAGTTGTGACCCTATCTATCTATCTATTTTTTATGGCAAAGATGAATCAATCCAGACCTCATGATGGCCTACACAAAGCTTGCAATGTTGAGATGACTGATCCTGTGTATAATAATGTGACCGTAAGTATTTTAGCTGAGAATTTCCGAAAGACTGTCCTCACCTTTGGCAAAAAATAAATTGAATGTATGGGATCATATTCCCGCCAAATGTATTGCAGTCACGGATAAAAAAAAATAACAAGCATGAAACCAAAATTAAAAAACGCAAGTAAAATTATATTGCAGAAAATGTAAAAATTAAAGCAAAGTTTTCAGAATAGCAAACAATGGTCACGGATCAATAAATAATACTTTTAAATCAAAAATGTAATAATGCATTAAAAAAAATAATAAGCACGAATCAAAACTTTAAACACATTTAAAATCATATTGCGCATAACTGAAATATTAATGCAAAATTATCCGAATTGCACACAAAATCATGTTTTCCTTGGTTATATATGACTGATCCTGTGTATAATAATGTGACCGTAAGTACTTTAGCTGAGAATTTCCTAAAGACTAAACTCTCCTCACCTTTGGCCAAACAGAAATTGAATGCTCTTCAATGTCAGTGTAAACATATCAAATGTCTTATGAATAATAAGTACATGGATATTTAAATGACACATTGCTGAATATACTTTGTCTCTTCATTCATAAAGGCTGCTCGACATGACTCTAATATCTGTAAACCTGAACCGAACTCTTCTGTGTATGAAAATATTCCAGTAAGTAAGAACACATACTAGATAGAGACAAATCACAACCTATTAGCCTTTCCTCATGACTAATGTTCTTGATGCTTTTATTTAAATATCTAATTCTTAATGTTTTTGCCTGCTTTATTTCTTATTCAGACTAAAAAGAAGAAGAGCATGTAGTGTTTTGGACACACAGCAAACATTTTACAGCTTTTACAAATCTCTTTGTTGGTGAAGACCTGTTTGATTGACAGAAGTGTCATGATATGGCTGAAGTCATTTGTAAAAAAAATAAAAAAATAAAAAGTAAAGGTTTTTGAATTGATGAATTGATATAAAAGTGTGTAATCACAAGTGTGTATTCCTTTACGCTTTATATCAAGTTTAAAGTACTTCATTTAGATTTTTAATGTTTTTAATATGTATCAGTGTAATCTTCATGTTTTGCATTAAAGGCAGGCTGTAGCTGTTCAATTTTACACTTTTCAGTCATTCAGTTCATCAGAACGACAGCACAACAAATATTAAACAGCATTACATCTTTGTCCTGTGTCTGTCCTGTGTACTGAGCTGGTGGTTGCAATTTGCAACCTCACCGTTAGATGGCGCTAAAATTTACACACTGCACCTTTAACTTAGTCGCAGTGATCACGGGAGACAGAAGAGAAGTACAACTATGCAGAACAAGTTTCCCTTATGAGTGGTGGGTGACCAGTTATACAGTGTTATTATGGGCATCTGTCATTTTCTATGACATGTTGTGCCATTTTGTGACAATGTGTGCCTTTTAGAGACTTTTAGACACATCACCGATGACGTAGTGATTTTTGGATCACGTGTCACTTAAGATGCGGTGATGAGTACATCATATAAGACAGATTGGTGGGATATCTAACTTGCAGAAACTCTTACTGTATTATCAACACGACGAAAACACAGTTGTGATCAAATAAATGTTATTAACAAAAGATAGACATGATTAATCAACAACTACTAAATGAATACCATAAATAAAAAGGAATAAAGTGCATAGGATACATAAAATGTAAGTGATTAACTAGGGTGATACTATGGCAGAGTTGTGTTATCTTATTAAAAGATAAACTGATGTAATAAGGTGAAAAACCTTATTATGCCTCAAACAAATAAATGAAAGATTATTTGTCCTGATCAGCTATATCATCTAATGTAAATTAGAAAATCATATACCAATAATATGCAATAATGCCAAGGTCTCTGGAAGAGGTTTGGATAAGTGATAGTTACGTTCTCTGTGGTTAAGTGAGCAGTCCGGTGGCGGCGACTTCATCCACTGATTGTGCTGGTAACTGGGAAAGGAGCAGGAATCCATTTAAACAGCCTTGAACACGAAGCACTGTAGGATGCTGATCTCCTGGAGCACCAAAGGGTCCTAAAATCTGGAACGCAGACATGGCCCTGGAGTAGATGCAGAAGGTCCTTGTCCTGGAACACGCAGACGAAAGTACCTTGGAGTGAAGGTTTGCTCGCCAGACCTTAACCTTGTTGCAAATGTCTGTATGTCTTCTGCCTCTCTGGGCTAGAGACTCAGAACTTGGTCAGTTCGCTTTGTCTCTCTAGGATGGAGAGTGCTGCATCAGTTGTTGTCTTGCTGGATGAAGATTCTGAATGCACGGTATCTCTTTCCTAACAGGCTGCAGGCTGGAGACTCAGAACGGCATATCTGCTATTGTCTCTCTGGACAGGAGACTCAGAAATTTGTGGATCTCCTACCACATAGACCAGAGACTCAGAACAAGGAGTTTTGAAAGGGTACCTTTATCCTTTCCAATCAGGAGTAGATTGTAATTTGGCTCTTCTCCATTTACATGCTGTGATTGGCCGTTTCCATCAGAGCAAGGGTACACTGTGTGGCCCACTCTTCTTTCCTCCTGTGGAACTTATTTGCATAGCCCAAACACACATTTAGAAAAGTGTCACTAAAGTTTTACTGATGCATTATTCCAAACCACAACCAGAATACCTTTGGCAATATTGAGAACGCATTCAGTCCAAACATGATGTTGTAACCGACCATAGTACGGTTACTATGTTGTTGTTGTTGTTTTTTTGTGTAGTTCCTCTACTGTGCCCCAGGGGGCCCTATAGAATTTTTTATGCTAAGGGATCAAAAGGATGTAGGCAATAGAGTAAGACATACCTGTTTGGTTAAGGGGAAGCATGGCTTTCACTTACATAACCTTACTGCAAATGGAGTTCTGATTGAGAAACTAAGGTTTTCAGCTCAATCATGTAAGTGTATCAGTTTATTTTGCGCTGTGTAAATTTGCACTTATTTTGTAAATAGTTTAACTAATGGTGAACTTTTGTGGCTGTTAAATGCTAATACTAGTTGTTTGTTTGTTTTGTAGAATAACTCTTTTTGTTTCTGTCTCTCCGTTTTTCTTTTTTACCATGAATTCCTCATCAATGGACTAAGAAATAACTTCATCAGAACGGGACAAATCGACATCAAAGAATTGCAAAGCACGCTATGTTTTAAGGAAACTCGGATCGACTAATCTTTGTGGTACTCTTGCTATTGGACTATCATCATCGAGGACTTCAGTATTCAAATTCAGTGCATGCTTCGGCTTAGAGACGAGTATTCATTCAACCAGAAGTTTTTAGTTTTTGTCCTTTACTTTGATTAATGATAAACACAATGGGTTGTTTTGCACTCAAAAAGACTTTATTGACTGTTTTTCATGCATGTGCTGTAGGGATCTGTGGATTGCCTTTATTTATATAAACACTTTGAAATGGCCTACTGTGTTCTGTGTGGTTTTCAGTTGAGGGACCCTCCCCTAAATTATTTTGTGATTTTGCCCCTTTGAACAATCTCACTGGGTCAATTACAATGTAAAAAGATTGAACTGTCATGCTTGCATTCACTTGTCCATTAACAGCTGAGTTTGTGTAAGATGTCACACTACACATCGCTGTCACTGAGAATACTTACTTCTCTGAATAAGTATAAGATGGTTGTGTTGTAGTTTCTATCAGTTTTAAGGTTTGAAAAGAGTTATGAATGGATTTGGATGGATCTATGTGATCTCTCTTTATTTCACCTACTGCTGCTGCATCCGGAGGTCCTGAGGAATTTTTATGGTGGTCACAGGCCAAATCTTAGGAATCAGTCTCTAGGTGGGTGAAAGGCAGAAACTGCATGTGGCCCTCCCGCAGGCTCCGCCTCCTTCCTCGGTCACTCCAGCTTGCCCTCTGGCCTCTGGATCCCCACCTACATCTCAGGCGATCATCTCTATGGCTCCGTCGAGGCCACCTGCATCCTCCGCATCGCTCCACCTCCTTGGCTCACTGTCTGCGCTGTGGGCTCCACTTCCAATGCTGTTGTCACCTCCAGTTGTCCCCATGGCGTTGTGTGTTCCCATCACAACTTGGCTCCTCCCTCCTGCGATGCTGCCATGGAGCGCAGTCCTAGCTGTGGCCTGTGTCTCCACCTACCCTCTCCTGCTCAAGGCTCCTCCATGGACTTCACCACCATCACTTCCCTGGCTTTCACCTCTGTCTACACTGCCCTGGACCCTTCCGTTCTGTCTTCTCTTGGTTAGACATCCTCCACCAGTTTCTTCTGCCGGTGTACCTGCCCTTTGCCATCCCTTCACCATCTCCTGGCTTCTTGCCTGTGGCATCGCCTCTGCCACCTCCAAAGCCTCCTCCGTCCCTCCCTGACTTACTCCGTTTGTCGCGTGTCGCTGTTGTGGCTGGTTAGGACATGGTGTAATGCATATTTCAGGCAAAATAAATGTAATTTTGGTATGCAATCCAATTTTACAATCCAATCCAACAACCAGTGGATAAAGTTAAGTCCCGCTCTATTTTTTATTATTTGTACAAGTGAAGACAGTTGCAGCTATTTCTCTCCAGTCTGCTAGAATGGAGAAATATGCTGAAATATCAAGAACTGCTTGCCAAACTGATCACATATTTAAAATCAGCAATAAACTCTGACATAAACTGGTCCATAAATGTAGTTCCCCTTCAGGAACTCAAGATGCGCTGGAAAATGCTTTTGGGACCACGTTCTGAATCACATGTAAAATCAGTCTGATGGAAGGGTGAGACATCACATGCGGGTGACATAGAGACCAGGAAGCTATAAAAGCACATGCGGTGGAACCGGCGTCAGCTTTCTGTCATTCAGCAAGTGCTCTGTGTGTGTTTCAGTCGCTATTTGTTGTAAGTCTTATTTAGTGTTCTTTGTCCATTTATAAGCTCCATTATGTCAAAGCTTCAGCCAAGAAGAAGCATTTGGGCGAGAGCAGGCAAGTGGGGACAAACACAATTTGTGTGTTGTCTGCTTGGGAGCGAAGCACGCAGAGTCAGCTCTCGAGGGAGATGACTGCCCACATTGCGACCATTTGTTACTGTGTATGCTTCGCTCTCGGAAGGCTCTCTTTAAGGAGGGAGCGTTCACCAGCGTTCAGGGATGCAGGCCCCGCTTTCGCCAAGGTGGAGCAGCGGCTGCGCTCGTGGGGTTCGCATATGATCCAGTGCCCGCTCTCTGGGATCGGAAGCCCGCGCTGCAGTTCTTCCTCCCGGGGAGAGGGCTCGACGCTCCGCCTGTCTTTCTCCGAGGAGGTTGATGTGGAGGGCGTCGATGAGCTCGCCTGGAGATGCTGGCCATGTTTCTAGCATTGAAACCCTTCCTCCCAGACCTAAGAGATCGCCATGTGTTGGTGCGCACCGGCAACACAGCGGTGGTCTCTTATATCAACCACCAGGGAGGTCTGCGTTCGGTCGCCAGATCCTTATGTGTTCCTAGGGGAAACTCCTCTCGCTGAGAGTAGTTCACATTCCTGGGCATCTCAATATGGGAGCAGACATCCTGTCGAGGCAGGGGCCGAGGCCCGGGGAATGGAGACTTCACCCCGAGGTGGTGAAGCAGATATGGAGAGTTTTTGCCCAGGCTTAGGTGGACCTGTTTGCGACTCAAGAGACATCGCACTGTCCCCTCTGGTTCTCTCTGACTCATCCAGCTCCTCTCGGACTGGACGGTATGCTACAGACGTGGCCGAGGCTTCGTCTGTATGCCTTTTTGCCCGATCGCTCTGTTCCCGGGAGTTCCAGAGAGAGTGTGCCGGGACGGGGTGCGTCTACTGTTAGAAGCCCCATTCTGGCCGGTCCGAGTATGGTTCTCGGACTTGATTTACCTTCTCGACTGCTCTTCATGGGAGATTTCCGTCAGGAAGGATCTCCTCTCACGGGCGGAGGGTACAATCTTTCACCCCTGCCCGGAGCTGTGGAAGCCGTGGGTGTGGCCTCTGAGGGGGCACAACTCGTAGCTTCCGGTCTCTCAACCGAGGTTGTTGAGACATCCTCCAATCCAGAGCGCCCTCTACGAGGAAACTGTATGCCCTGAAGTGGAAGTTTTCACTTCTTGGTGCGGAGACCGTTAGCTCGACCCAGTTTACTGCCCAGTTGGTACAGTGCTGGAGTTCCTGCATGCCCGATTCTCTGCAGGGTTGACCCACTCCACCTTGAAAATCTACGTGGCGGTTGTTGCGGCCTACCACACCCCTATCGGTGGCCAGTCAGTGGGCAGACACCCCCTAGTTACATGTTTCCTCCACGGTGCGCTGAGGCCTCTGGCCAGAGAAGCTTATGCTAAGCGGTGGATCAGGATGCTATTCCATAGCCTCGAGTCCTCCTGATCTACCCTCTCCTTTGGGGGTCAAAGCTCACTCCTTCTGAAGTTGACCTTTGGGAGGGATGTCCCCGCCTACTTTTTCAGGTGCCTACCTGCATTCTGCACCACTCCTGGCTCCTTTCATCTTAGCTGTGCTCTTCCACACTAGGCAGGGGTTTGTAAGTCTGGCTGCGTGGGCATACTCGTTGCCAAAGCATTTTCCAATGCAGCTCGAGTTCCTGAAGGGGAACGTCTCCAGGTTACAAATGTAACCATGGTTCCCCGAGGGCACGAGACGCTGCGTCTCAGTGCCATACTTCCGGCATCCCTGTGAGCGCTTGATTCATTCCTAGAAGCTAACGCCGGTTCCACTGCACGTGCTTTTAACCTGGAAAAGTTTTTTTTTTTTTTATACTCAAATGACATTAACAAAGCGTTCAGGTCAGTCCAACCAATTTGCTTTTGGAGTCCCAAGCGTGCATCTCAGAACTGTTTCTGTTGGGACCAGAGATTCTAACAGTAGATGCAGTAACACCATGACATCACCAACTGACAGAACTGATTTCCTCTTCCTCCCAGATGTAATGTCACTTAGTGTTTCTCCATTTCTCATGAAGGTCATATGATCACCATGGCCATATTTAGTGACTCGGCATGTATTCAAGAACAGGCTGCTGACAGAAAAAGCTTAAGTTCTCGTATGATAAAAACTTTAAGACATTTAGATGAAATAAATTCTGCTTCATCAACATATTTTACGTTTATTCCATTGATTGATTAATAGAAATTTGGTAATGAATTGAGGTTCATCAAATGCACAGCATATTGCAGTCACTGCCAATGCAATGTCTTCCGGTATTTCACAATCCCAGGTCCAGCAGTTCTCAAACCAGGATATCTGGACTGTGTATTCAAATTTTAGTTATTCAAGCAATCATATTTATTTGTCTCTCAGGCACAGGTTCCTTGTCATCGTCATCTGTATGCAATTGATTATGTTTAGATATTTCCAAGTTTGAAAATTTAATAGGATCATCTTTATGACCTAAATTCATGTTTCTATCAGTTCAACTTTCATTGGCCTTTAGTCTAATGTAATCTGCTAAAATGCTTCTTCTGCTCTATCTAGCACTAGTTGAGGTGTTAAAAACACATTCAAATATAATGTGTTAATCACGTGATATTTAGAGTGTGAAAACAGCAGTGCTGGTATCATCTTGATCTATTGTAGTGCTGTCACTGGTCATGAGTCTTGGTGAAATGGGTAAGTGCATGATTTTATTACCATTCTGTCAAATATCTTATGTATTGGCGATTGGTTGGGGCTAGTTGTCATTGGGCTGTTTCTCAGTAACGATAAGGTTTAAAAAAGGTGTTTTCTTTAGCAGCAGTTTTGTATGTTAATTACAAATACCTCTGGTACAAATAATTATCTTTAACAACAGATCACTATATAATGAAGACAGATTCATTATATAGTTTAATAGGCTTTTATAAGAACTAGAACGTAGTTCTCTTTTTGGTTTGTTCTTTGCTCAATCTCAGAACAGATGGTGTTTGATTTGGCCTGACAAGAAAGAGGAAGATAATTGAATCTACATTAAGTTAACCACAAACTAGTAGATCTGCACGTGCAATTATAATCAAGCTAATATCATCTAATCAGAAAGAGCTTCATTGCCAAGTGTGCTTACACACACAAGGAATTTGTCTTGGTGACAAAACCTTCGAGTGCACAGACTGGATGACAAGACACAGATAACAAAATAAAAATAAGTGAGTAAAATAAATATGTAAAAACAATACAAAATAGACAAAAAGATAATAGATTGTATGTTTTGAGTAAAACTTAATTCGCCATAGGTCACACACCATATGATACGCTTCAAAGCATCTACAGGCAATTAACTACTGTAATATCTACATTTTTGCCTTATAAAGCATTTCAAAAAGATACAAATAAGTTTTAAATAATGTCAGAATCACGAATGCTGAAATAAGCCACTGTACATTTGTTGTAGGAGTTGCTATAGTGATGTCAGTCAGAATGGCCCCTCCTCTTCCTCTGATCTTTCTGATCATGATTCACGGTGAGTCACTGATGTTTCAGCAACACTTTATCAAGATTCGATATTATGCTTTTTTTCAAACATCTATTCAGTTCAATTATTCTATTGTCATTGCATAGATTACAACAACATTATACAGCAAAAATAACACATAACAAAAACAACAATACGTATACCTATAACCAGGGCTGTCGCTAGCAGATGGCGATGATTCTAGGGCCCCCCAGGTATTGGGGGTGCCGGTGATTTCAACCAAGGGGGAAGTTAGTATTTGACGGTGTTTGGTTTTTGTTTTTGGGGAGAAACTGCTTTTGAGCCTGTGACACAATGTCTGTGATCCATTTGTTTATGATACAATGGACCTGAAGCATTTACCTGAGGGCAGCAAGTCAAAAAGACAGTGTTTTGAAATGCTGGCTGATGACCCTCAGGACAGTAGCTTTTCTTGCAGGTGGTTTTACCCGAGGATCCCCAGGAAGTGGAATCTCTACTGTGCCTTCTTGACTACTTCTTGACGTTCTTGACTACTTAACAATGGTATTGGTGGGATGGGTGGGGGGTACAGTCATGAGTGTAGACAGAATACAGAAGCGGACTCAACACAAAGCCCTGTGGCACACCAGTGCTGAGTGTGAGGAAGGAAAAGAGATGGTCCTTTATCCAATGGCAGACGGACTGTGAAATTCTTAAGTCATGAAGTTTGGCGACCAATCTACCTGGGAAGACTGTGTTAAAGTATGAGGAGTGACTCTTACTGTCACAGGTGACTTCCATGAGGCTGAGCTCTTCTTCTGTGCATTATGTTGAATAATAATCAGTGTATGACAGCAGCACTAGATATAATGTGTGTGTTGTGTTCAGATCTTCAGGTGGAGGCTCCTGAGAGAGTGACAGAGGGTCATAATGTCAGTCTGACATGTAAAAGCAGCTGCACTCTGACTGACAGAGCAACATTCACAAGTGTGTTTGACTGATATAATTTGTGGATCATTTTATAGCTATTTAAGTGAAAATGGAAGTAAAGAGTTAATTAATGAATAAAAGGGTGTAATCACTTAAGTGTGTTTTCTCTTTACACTTTATACAATCTTTTAAGCCTGCTGCATTTAGATTTTTAATGTTTTTAACCTTAGATATCAGTATTTTTCAGATTTTCCATGAAAGGCTAGTTATGCAATTTTACATGTTGGGGGCTTGTTATGTCGCAATATTGGAAATATATATGTTTTAAACCATGAAGGCTGATATTAAGCAACGTGCAAACTTTGCGCAAGAGTTATGCCGGTGAACAGCTGAACCTCAGTCAATTATA